GTAGGAAATGACGAGCGAATCCATGCGAGCTGTTTAACATAACGTACGTCAGTGGTTTTCGACGGACTGCGTTTGAGGTATTTCATGGATGGCAACTCTTTCGGCATTAAGGTAGCTGAAACCTCACATTAATCAACCGACATCAGTGTTCAATCCATGCAATAGTTGAATGCGTCTACAGAACCATTCTGCAACCTATTCGAGCAAAGATTTTGCGGAAATGAGTCATGAAGCTCGCTCTGAGTGAAGCATTCGGAGTACAGCACCGAAACCTACTTCTGTCTCTTGTCTTCACTGTTTTCAATGGATAAGAGGCGATTTGACTATGTCAGGTATCGACGAAACTTGACCATGTACAGTTCATAGATGCATCCATTGTTATTATCCAATATAGAGAACTAATTCCTCCTCTTTAGTGATGTTTCAGAATCTGTCATGCTAGAAGCTTCAGGGGCATATCCGAAAATATTGCTCACGAACTCAAGCATGTAAATCACATTTCAGGTTTCGCATTGCTACACCTCTGAGATTCAAGTTTATAACATATAGTTCAATTGCAGCTTTTTTATCAGAACCTCTCTCATAAATGAGAAAATACAATAGTTAACCGAATTAAACCAAAGCTTAATTTGTAATAACTTTTCGGTTTAATTGTACTACTTTCACCTTCTTCACACATGGTCGGGAGGTTACGTAGATGAAAACAAGGCTTCTGATCATCTGAAAATTTTACTATGTCTAGACAATCACAATTCAACGTGTAAATCATTTGTCCTTAAAAATAACCATCAGATATTGTGTCGTTACTTTGAAATCCTTGTCTTACGCTCGATGTATTGTATCGCACCTTGTATCCACGGGCCAAACCACTGAACATCCGCATTGCCCATTAAATGGCATTTATTCACTCTCTGTTGACTGCCTTTGGTCGCGTTTACTGGCTGAAGAGTAGGTCTATTCCAGTCGTCAGCCACGGGCTCGTTCAGACTTGAAATTCCAGCGACACTGTATCTGACTAATGCTTTGAGTTCATTGATTCGGAAGAGAATGCCGTACGTATGGGACTAAAAAGCAAACAGGCATTTTACAAAGGAACAGCTTTCAAAGGACAAATTTGGCGACGGAAATTCTAGCAATTCCTTAAATGAACATTACGAGATGAAACTACCTCATTTACGGCGACATGAGTTGAACTGACGGAAGAAGACGACAACATGAGTTGCTTAGTGGACAAGTCTCATCCGTCCGTCGGAACGATCGCATGAGATTTGATCGCAGTCGAAACGTTGTTGAACTGCCTCAATCGAAAGGAAGTGACCCTCCTCGTTTTACCGCAGCGGCAAGAATTTCTGGACGAAACTTACGAGCGCCGACCCACAATATCGGCCAGAGATTCCGCTGGTCAAATAGCAGTCGCTCTATGTCTCATAAACGTATCATCTGTAGAGAAAATAGCAAAGAGTCCAGGTGTGGATATTCGGTTGATCGAG